AAGAGAAGCTTTCTTAATTGTCAGTACTATTTTGTTGCAAGACTATAAACCTTCCAGACCCATACGAGAGCAAATGCTTGGACAAAAATGACAGCAAGATACCTGGTTACGAGACATACACAATTCTTGGTTGTCTGTTGATGTGTGAAACAAAATATCTAATAGAAAAATGTGGCTGTCGGGATGTCGGAATGCCTGGTGAGTAAAATTGAGTTGTTAATCAACATTTCTACCTTGTTCATTTATTATTTAAAAAAAGAAATGCAGAAATTGCGCTAACCCTTTAGCTCCCATTAGCGACAAAGGCAAGTAGGGAGAATTAGTAATCAGATTTTGGGAGTGAAGGGGTTAAGAGAGCTGTGATGTTTTTTAGAAGTAGGAAAAATCTTTTCTCTCGGAACTTGTTGGGTCGGAGTGTTCAGCCCAAATTCCCATGATGCAGCTGTTGAACATTATGCGATGAAATTGTCTCCCGAGTGGTCTTTTGATTGGCTTAATCTAATCGCCTGTTTGATTGATTGATTAATTTGATTGACAGCAATTAACGGTGCCAGAGAGTGCGATGGACTGGAAATATCAGATTGTGTGCTTAGAGAAAAAGGTACACCTTTCCTTACATATTTGTTTTCATTGCTTTATTTGTTTGTTGGTTTCAGTTGACGAATTTTATGAGCTGGTTGACAATGCTCCTTTTTTTTTATTAAGTATTTGGTGGAGTTTATGCCATATGAACTGAAAAAGAAATTAGCTGCGTCGTCGGACACGTCGCCTAGAAGTCAACGTTTCATTTTACTCACTGCCTTCCGTTTAACGTGTTTTACCGTGCACGTCCCTTCACCTCATGACATATGTTCCTGTAGATTGCAACATTTATGAACCTTTCCGTACATTCCAGAAAATTTTCAGAAACTGAAAGGTGCACAGTGCAAATGTCCATTGCCTTGTGGTGCGACCTCATTCAGGCCTCTTCTGTCCTATGCTGCTTTTCCAAGTGATGAATATATTAAACGATCACAAGAATTATATGCGGATTTCGGTCACAACGCATCAGAAGCCACCCTGGAGTTTCTCCAAGAGTACACGAGGTTTGTGTCATTGATGAATCCAGGAAAATAAAATTATAGGACTTAACGGATAAGATTAGATACGAACAAGGATGATAATTTTGTCGGGAATCGTGGCGCAGTTTGTGGGCTAAAATATATGTTGCACGCTTTTTAGGATTCTTTTGCTGTCTTTTTTACAGTTTGTAGTTTCTCAATGCCCTCCCAAGAGAAGATAGTAGTAATCAGTGCACTTTATGCTGTCGGGCATAATGTGTTATAAGTCGACTTCCTCATACAGTCACTTCAATCCCCGCCGTACGGTTTGGGCTAAAATGACTCTGAGTCGGGCCCAAAACATATCAATGCAC